CAAAACAAAGAACAAAGAAGGGCATTACATAATGATAAAGGAGTCATTCCAACAAGAGGATATAACCATTATAAATATCTATGCACCCAACACAGGAGCACCCAAATATGTGAAATAAATACTAACAGAATTAAAGGAGGAAACAGAATGCAATGCATTCATTTTAGGAGACTTCAACATAACACTCACTCCAAAGGACAGATCAGCCAGACAGAAAATAAGTAAGGAGACAGAAGCACTGCACAACACATTGGAACAGATGGACCTATCAGACATTTACAGAACATTCCACCCAAAAGGAACAGGACACACATTCTTCTCAAATGCACATGGAACATTTTCCAGAATAGATCACATACTAGGTAGGGAAGAAAAAGAACCTGTCAATTCAAAAAGACTGAAATTGTACCAACCAACTTCTCAGATCACAATGGTATGAAACTAGAAATAAATTGCACAAATAAAAGAAAAAAGCCCCCAAAACACATGGAGGCTTAAAAACATGCTCCTAAATAATCAATGAATCAATGACCAAATTAAAACAGAAATCAAGCAATATATGGAGACAAATAAAAACAGCTCAACACCCCAACTACTGCGGAATGCAGTGAAGGCAGTTCTAAGAGGAAAGTATATACCAATTCAGGCCTATCTAAATAAGGAAAAACACTCCCAAATGAACAGTCTAAATTCACAATTAATGAAACTGGGAAAAGAAGAACAAATGAGGCCCCAAGTTAGTAGAAGGAGAGACATAATAAAGAAGAAATAATTAAAATTGAGAAGAATAAAATAGAAAGAATCAATGAAAGTAGAGGCAGGCTCTTTGAGAAAATAAACAAAATGGATAAACCCCTAGCCAGACATAACAAGAAAAAAAGAGAGTATACAAACATAAACAGAATCAGAAATGAGAAAGGAAAAATCACTATGGACACCACAGAAATACAAAGAATTATTAGAGAATACTATGAAAATTTATATGCTAACAAATTGGATAATCTAGAAGAAATGGACAAATTTCTAAAAAACTACAACCTTCCAAGACTGACTCAGGAATAAACAAAAAATCTGAAACACACCAATTACCACCAATGAAATTGAATTGGTAATCAAAAAACTTTCCAAGCACAAAACCCCTGAACCAGATGGCTTCACCGCTGAATATTTTTTTGGTTGGGAGTATTCCCTCCTCTTCTATTTTTTGGAAAACTTTAAGGAGAATGGGTATTATGTCTTCTCCATATGTCTGATAAAATTCCGAGGTAAATTCATCTGGCACGGGGGTTTTGTTCTTGGGTAGTTTTTTATCATTAATCTATATTTATATGAAAAATATGTTTACTAGGGACCCCCTTGACCAAGTTCACCCCACAAACCCCAATACAGTCATTTTCCATCAGCATAGTATGATGTTGTAGAATCACTACTTGTCTTCTCTGTGTTGCACAGCCCTCCCCATGCCCCCCCCCCACATTACACATGGTAATCATAATACCCCCTTTCTTTTTCCCTGCTCTTATCTGTCCCTTCCCTCCTATTCTGCCAAGTCCCTTTCCCTTCGGTAACTGTTACTCCATTCTTGGGTTCTGTGACTCTGCTGTTTTGTTCCTTCAGTTTTCCTTTGTTCTTATACTCTACATATGAGTGAAATCATTTGGTATTTGTCTTTCTCTGCCTGGCTTATTTCACTGAGACTAGCCTGGAATGAGCAGAGGCCACACCCCCTCCTGGTGTGTGCGTGTGTATGTGTGTGTGTGGTGTGAGCATGGGGGTCATGAGTGAAATAAGTCTCAAAGTAATTCAACAAAGTCTCAACAAAATACTGACATGGCACTGACTGTAAGCAAAAGACCAGAATCTAGTTGTTTTTTTATCTTTTAACGTAGAAAAAAATTCAAACATTCATAAAAATAGAGATTAATCACCATGTATTCATTACCCAGATTGAACAATTATCAACATCTTGTGAATTTTAAGAAAATTTATTAAAAACTAGGAAATAAGAAAACATTACTGTGTCATCGTGTGCACCTCTTCGAGGTCATCCTAGACCATCGTGTAAAAGCCCACCCAAGGTCTAACAAACCATTCTAGAGAAAGGTTTCCTAAATTCAGCACTGTTCACATTTTGGGCCAGATAATTCTTTATTATGGAAGGTTGTCCTCTCCATTGCAGAATGGTTGCAAGCGTCCCTGGCCTCTACCCACCACATGCCAGTAGCATTCTGTTCTGTACCTTGCACCCCTTACACACATTGTGATAACCAAAATTTTCTCCACACATTGCCAAATATCCCCTGGGGATTAAAACTGCACCAGTTTGAGAACTCATTACTCTAGAAGAATGTACCTTTGTGAGATTGGCTTTTTATTACTAATTAGGATCCAGACTGATGTTAAATTTGTAGACAACTGATGCATTTCATATATTTGTCTGCTATAGATGCAAACCGATTCTGTACAAAAAAAGATAACCTTAAAGGTTTTAATTATATTGCCTTATAGGACACTAGTTTTGTATCTAACTTTGTAATCTTATTCCAAGGTTCTTTTTTCCACTGACTATATACATACTTGTTTATTTTGAATCAAATTCCAAGCCTGCTAATTCCCCTCATTAATAAATGGATCTTTGAATATCATGTTTTACTTTTGAAAATTATACTTTGAGACTTATTTCACTCATGACCCCCATGCTCAGACCACACACGCATGCACACACCAGGAGGGGGTGTGGCCTTTGCTTATTCCAGGCTAGTCTCTGGATCTACTTTGATCCAGGGCACAGTTACATACCACCCAGATCTGAAAGTCTTCATTCATACAAGGGCAAAGCCTTATTACTACTCAGGTCAGGACAGAGTCCTTTCTGCTCCAAAGGAGGGAAGAGCTGTTAGACCAACTTGGGCCCTGCATTCCTTTAAATGATGACAGTGGCCAGGGCTACCACGTCTTGTTATTGTCATCAGGCCAAGGGAGTAAATGAGAGCTGATGGTCAGTGCAGGCTGGGTTAGCTCAGAGCTTTTTATTTGTCAAGCCATGAATCCTTGAAGGCTGTCTCTAATTCTTCTGCCTAGCAGAGACACTGTCATAAGCCACAGTGTAGATAATGGACTTGGCAGTCCCGTGTTTCCAGACTATGGTAAAGCTGTCACTTCTGTCACCCCTCTCTCTCTGTTCCCAGGCCCATATAACCACTCAATACTCTGAACACTGCTTTTTCTTTTTAAAATTAACATATAATTTACATATAATAAAAGCACAGATCCTAAGTGTTCACTCTGATGAGTCTAGACAATTATATAGACTCATGAGGCCACCACCCAAAACAAGATATAGAACATTTTCATAACCCCAAGAAACTCTCTTCAGTCCTAAGTCCCTAGCATCAATTGCTCTTTGATTTATAACTCAATAGATTTGTTTTGCCTGTTCTTGAGCCTCACATGAATTGAACCCTATAGTGTGTATTATTTTGTACATTTTTTTTACCCATTTCCTCTTTCCATGTGTACTCTTTCCCCAACTAGACCTCAGCTCTGAGTATCCTCAATTTTTATTGGAAACCTGTTCCTTCTTTGTTCCCTAATTCAATGCTTTAGATATACTCAAGTTCTAATATATTTTTAGTAAAATTTAATAATGGTGATAATCTTTTACCTTTGTACAAAACAGACATAGCTGGCTGATTCCTTTTTTTTTACTTACTGGCTGAGAGACTATGGACAGGTCACCTCACCTCTGGGATGCAATTTCTGCAGGACAGTGATGATAACATTGTTCTCACAGTGTTTGTGGCCTTCTTTTAATGTTGTTCCCTATATATTTCTAGCAGTCCCCATTCCAAGCTTACAGTAGGATTGTATTTCTGTCATGTGGTTGGGGGACTATTCAAAGAGTGAGAGGAAATGCCATCATGTATCATTTCTGAGGCAGAGCATTTAATCTGCAGCACAAGTCCCTCTAAGGCTCTCTTTCCCTTTGCCTTTGTAGAATGAGAGCAATTCTTGAAGGCAGCAGGCCAGTAACAGACCAGGCATGTAACAGGCACTCTATAAATGGTCATTTTCATCAATCACTGTAATCACTTCAAATCACTGTCACATTAGCCACTTGTATTAATTCCAATGAAGCAAGACTCTTAAACTCTTTATTAAAGGTTTAAAATCTAGCAGAGCCACAGGCATTTAATTTCTCTATCATGTAGGAGAGGAAACTGCTAATAATCCCAATTTGACAGAACAACCTCACAAGTATAGGAATTTAAGGAATCTACAAATATCAGTTATAGCATTTTTACCACAGCACTGAAGTTATCTATTGCTGCATAGCGAATTACTCCCAAGCTCAGAACTTAAAGCAAATATTTAGTATCTTACACAATTTCTATAGGTCAAGAATCTGGGAGCTGCTAGCTGGATAGTTCTAAGCCCCTCATGTGGTTGCAGTCAGTCTGTTAGTGGGGGCTGCAGAATCTGCTTCCAAGACGACCCACTTGGATATAGGAGGGCAGCAGTTCCTCCGTGGCTGTTGGGTCTCAGCTCCTTGCTACATGGGCCTCTCCATAGGCTGTCTCGGTGTCCTCATTGCATGGCAGTTAACTTCTCCCTGAGTACAGTTATTTGAGAGGGAGAGCAAGCACCTCCAAGGCAGAAGCCAAGATGTCATTTTGAACTTAAACTCGTAAGTAACATGCCATTGCTTCTACTGTATTCTACTAGCCTCACAGACCAGCCCTGATACAATATGGAAGAATACTGCCCAAGGTTGTGGTTACCAGGATTAGGAGTCATTGGGAGCCATTTTGAAGGTCAACTGTTATACTACTTGGTATGACCACCAGCTGGAGTTGTGGTTTTTAAAAAGCTAGTTTCATAAGGCAGCCATTTCTAGAGATGTTCCAATGACTGTGATGTGTAGGACACTGTTTTGATGGTATTAAACAAGCAGGACTGTTTAAGGCTGTCGATAGCCCGCCGCTTCCCTGGGCACTCACCATTCCCTTGTGCCGACAGCTGGCTTTTCCTTGCAGGCACCTACAGACGCTGCCTGAGGCCTGACCATGAGGCAGGCTGTAAGTGCTGGAGCTTTAAGGTCCCTTCAGTAGCGCTCAAAAGTGGGAAACAGGAGATGATGTGTAAGTATCTCAGCTTCATCGGCCCTCGTGTGGGACAACTTGGAGGTGGTTTCTGCACATCTCCGGTTCCCCACTGGACTAAGACCCCATTGCTCACAAGGGTAATCTCATTGGTGCACTCTGTCTTGGTTTCCATCCATCCCCTCGCACTTCCCCATCTCCTACCTGCGAAATAAACGGCCGATATTCACATCCTTGTCTTAAATCGGCTAAAGTCACCTAACATTAAGTTCCCGCTTTCAACTTTTTCTTTCCGTAAGGGCTAAGAACTTGGAACGAGCCCTTCCGCAGCTCTTTCTCTCCGCTGTCTTGGTCCTTCCTCAGAGGGCCTCCGGCTCTCAAGGGAAGAGCTTCTCTCCTTTGCTGTTCTCCAGCTCCTACAACTGAACCAGAAAAAGATTTACCTGGCTTTACAGGAGCTACTCTGAGAAGATGGCCGCGCCCATTTCCCGTAAAAACCGGTATACATGTACGCGGCCATCTTACCTCACTACTTGCGCTTCTGGAGACAAAGCTCAGCTTCGAGGTCAGTCATATTGGTCACAGGTTTGAGTTTCTGAAATGGAAAAGCAGCAGCAGCGGCTGTGTTAGGGACCCAGGAGCGCATGCTTCTCCCCGCCCTAAAACAGCCCAATCCTCCGGTTTAGGAAAGGCCCCGGTCATCCGCTGTACGGAACAGACGTAAGCAAGGCCGCCCCTACAAACGCATCCCCAAGAGGGCGGGGTCATCACACTTCTCATTAAAATTCAGGAACCCAGAATCCTAATCTCCGGAAGGTTGCCAGGTGGCGGCCGACGGCTTCGAAGTTGCGACTGAGTCTGCGCACCGGCCTGTCGCGCTAGGAAGAGCTTATAGTGTGGTGAGGAGGCATGGTACGGCCTCGGGTTACGGTCGCGCATCCAAGAAAAATGGGAAAAGTCACTGTGAGGAACAGTCAAAATTCAGGACCTCTGTAGGATGGTAATCGGTCGACTACGGTGGCCCGACTGGGTCATTTATGGGTGCTCGTAAGAGTCAGAGACAAGGGGACTGAAGGGTTAAGTGGGCGTCTGAACCTCGGTGGGGGTCGTCTGTGGTGGCGGGCAGAGGTTTGTGGGAGTCATTGGCAGTATCGTGAAGAAGATGGGTTGGGAGTATGTGGGAATCAATAAATAAGGGTTCTTGCCTTCTTGATTGGCAGAGTGCATGGGGTCAGTTTTTGGTCGTCTTCAGGGGTCCAGGGGCCAAGTGGGGTTCTTCAAAGACGCTGGCTTGAACGGCATTAGGGCTAAGTGTTCAGAAGCCTGAAGGGGTCAGTGATTGGCGGTTCCAAGTTCTGTTTGGGTACCTGGAACTGGCGATTATGGAAACTTTGAGGTTCAGTAGTGAGGGAACCAATGTTTGGAAAAGTGCTTTAGGCCATCAGTGATGAAGACTTCCCTTAGGTCACCGATGGGAGGATCTGAAGGTATTAGCGATTGGACTTTTGTAGATCAAGGAATAGGGAATAGAGGAATCAATGGGGGTCAGCGATTGGGACTGTCAGTAATTGTGGGGGAGGTAGGCTTGTGGGCGTTAGGCTTGTGATGTTACTGGTGATATGTGTAGTCTACTGTTAGGCAATCAGAATGAATCAGTGAGCTTTGATACTTGGATATTTGGGCATATCAGGGACTAAAAGGACCCCGGGGGTTTGTAGACTGGGGACACCATGTATCTCTATGATGAGAAGGTTTAATGGTGTTGGTGTTGAGGTCCGGGATATGGGAATCAAGGATTTGAAGCTGCAGCCCTGCGTAATGGGAACACACCTCACTCATGTGACGTACCTCAGCTGATGAGCAGCCAGTTTGGTCTAGTCCCTCAGGGCCAAAGACCATCTCAAAACTCTTTTTGAAACCTCTCTCCCCCTTTTTTATTTTTCCTCACATTAATCAAAGTGCATTGAAGGGATCAAATGTTAAAATAAAGTAACGTGTTATTATTGTTGTTTTTGCCAAGGATTTAATGCATAATTCTTCTAATGTTTCCTTTAAGGTTCTTTCTGGCAAAGGTAATGACATGTCCATCTGTCACAGCATCTCGAGAGTAAGGCTGGTTTCTGGAAATCTATTCCGAATCCATGGCAGCTAGGATGGATGTGACCTTGCCTGTGGTTAGAAAACAAAGAGTTTACTGAGTAAGTACCTAAACTGATATTGTAAAAGATTTGGCTGAGAGAGCAAACTTTGAGAGCATTTGGAAAATACTTTTATCTAGGTTCACTTTAAAAACTATTCTCACCACACACACAAGAAAAGTAACTATGTGACATGGTGGAGGTGTTAACTAACCCTGTGGTAATAATCATTTTGCACTGTAAACTCATACAATGTTAAGTATCGCTTACATCTCTATAAGGATGAAGGAAAAAAAAAGAAGGAAATCACATAGGGAAAAGAAACTGGATCTGGAAGTTACTGTGTTCTAATAATCTTTTTGCCTTATTCTGTATTTTTAGGCATAGCACATTTGACCTCCGAATCTGTTCCTTATAAAACCCTGGTAGAACAATTCAATAAAGATACCCCCTCCCACACACACATAAAATTAAAGCTCCTTTTAGAAAACTAATCTTCACTGAAATTAAAGTCAAACTATTGGAGATTAAGATGGGCTGAGAAATTATTACAAATAAAATCGAAATAAACTTTTGACCATTAGCTTAATGAAAGGGTGAAATGCCAAAATGATATTTTTTTCAAAATGATATTTTAATTATTTTTAAAGCATTATATTTGATCCTTATGTAGTCTTCAGACAAAACACAATGACTATAACATCTTAAGAAAAAAAGGACACCGAGAGGTAAGCAGGTAACACTTTCAGAAGCTGTACATGTCAAGCTTTCATTTATAGAGCAGATGATAACCTGTTTTTCATTTGCACAGAATCAAAGACAGTTGTTTTGAAGCAGAAGTCATGAGCTTGAGTAAGGAGTTAGGGCATTTTTTCCTCTAGCTATTTTCCTTCATCACCCACACTGCAGTCAGTGCCAGACTTGGGAGCAAAGAATTTTTCTTTAAAAATTTTTTAACGTAAACCTTTTATTGAGATATAAGATACATGCAAAAATGTACATAAATATACAGCTCAATAAATTGTCACAAAGGGAACACACCTGGGTAATGTGCTCGGATCAGAAAACAGAACATTGTAGCTCCGCAAAAGCCCTCATTATACACCCTCCCAGTCACTACCCAGCCAAGCAGAACCATTGTCTCAACTTCTAACACCACAGATTCATTTTGCCTGTTTTTGAACCTAAATTAAATAGGACATTCATACATGATAGTGGGGTGCAGGGGAGGCAGTATGTGACTCTGTGTGAAAAAAAGTTTTAAGTTTAAATTCGGATTATTTTATTTATACAACTAACATTCTTCCAGATCATTAAATATTCTTTTTTGAGGGTATAACACACATATAGTCACATATGCTTATCTTAGGAGTATGGCTCAATGAATTTTTACATTGCAGAGAACCATGTAAACAAAACTTATATCAAGGTGTATATCATCTCTAGCATCCTGAAAGCTTCGTTATCAGCCAATACCCACTGCCACCTCTGGGTCTAATACAATGGATTAGTTTTGTCTATTTTTTTGAACTTGAATTAAATGGAATCATAGAAATAATCTGAAGCCAAAACATTTATACCATGGAGAAGTTTTGTTAGAAATTCTGAAACCAGACAAACACCAGGTCAAAATTCTGTAGCCTTGGCTTGGCCATTTGAGATAACTCTTTTGTGTTATATTCCCTTTGGAAGCCCCAGGGTTTTGAGTGGACTTGGAGTCAGGGTCCTATTAATGACATCAACAAGTTGAGATGGCTCTTCTCTAGGTAGTTTGGAGGGATCTGAGCCCTCTGGTCGAAATATCTTATTCTTTGGAGACTGACCATTGGCAGCAGAGATGTGAATAAGGCCCCTTGAAAAAGAGCCTCTTTAGGGACTGCCTGTCCTGGGGCCTTGACACAATGGCTCAGCAAATGGGTTTTCTGAGAAGAGTCTTTCTCTGGGAACCTGGAAGATCTGGTAGGTTTACTCTGGGGCAGAGAAGCCTCTGTCCCTCACATCCAACCTATCTCAGAAAGCTACTAACCTTTGACTCATAGCTCTTCCCATCTTGTTCTCCTTTCTACAAACTTAGGGGTATTTGTTTTCAAATAATTTCAGATGTAGAAAAATAAGAATAGTACAAAAATTCCTATTACAGTCTCACGCAGATTCTGCATTGTTAAAATTTTCCTTTTATGTGCAAATAACTTCATTTTCTTGCTATATATATATATATATACACACACACACACAC